ACAGAGAGCACTAACATGAATGTAGAAGCGCGTTAAATTAAGAAAATCTTATTACAAAATTCCGACGTGTGCCGTTGCCTAAAAGGCGGTACGAGGGATCCATGTCGGGCCTAATGAACGTGCTCAAAATTTACAACACCTTCCACCTTTTAGTTACTTTGTAAGACATAAATTAAACCTCAAATGCGTTTACTTTAATGGCCAGTAATTTTTCTCGACAAAAAACACGCTTGGGTACGACATTTCGTTTGTGAAACGTTTTTTAGATACTTGGCAAAATGTTATTGTCACATTTTTATTTTGAAAGCACCGAACAATTCTTTCACAATTTGGCCTCGACCAATGTTTATTTGAATTCCTTAATTTATTTCAGTAGACGCATAAATTTTATTATTATGCTTTGTTTCAATGGAACTTTTTGTGTTACAAAAGTTAAGAATTAATATAGACGAAGTTTTAAAATATACGTTCATTTGGACTACAAAAAATACAATGAAACTTTTTTTTCTTAGGCTATTAGATGACCTTATATACAATTAGAAGAGACAGAAAGAAAACCTCAAATTTATATATTTATAACCGTTTTTACTTTCAATTTTATATTCCATGGATTTTTTTTCAAACCGAAAATTTACATTACTATCTGTACCAAACTAGGATGCGATATACCTATCTGAGATATATACCCACAGCTACAAACAAATGTTAAGATAATCCTATAAAAGCAAGTTGTTTTATGAGTAGGTACAAAAAACATATAAATAATAAATAAGAAAACAAGCGGACATAATTATCATTACAACAATATTTTTTTTGTTTCATGTTATGGTTCGTTGTCGTTTATTATTAAGACAACATACTAACATGATATAATCTGAGTAACTTATTTTTATATAATATAAATTATATTCTTAATATAAGAATTGTACCATTTTTTTTTATAAAGACGTACAATATACATAGCTGTATAAATAAAATATGAAACATTACATGTTCTGACTTATTCATCAATGCTTAGTCTAAGCCACTATAGGGATAACCTATAGGGATGAAATATAGACAATCCTATAATCAACTACATAAATAGGTAATTTTCAAAAAGATTATTTAAAAAAGGGGAACCCCCTTTGTGTTGGGTACACTATTTTTTATTGTCAATAAATATATTTAACATAAAGAAACCGGGCATGTTAGTTATTAATAAAAATATAACTACATATAACCATGCATGTAAGATTGAACATACGCATGCATGAATGCGTACGTTCAATCTTACTCTACCATAATATTATGTTTGCAAAATTTTCAAATTAAATGTCCATTAAGATTTGTAATCATTACTTAATATTTATGTGAATAAATTATTGAAGTATAAAAAGTCAATGTAGAATACTTGATTATATTTATATTAGATGAAAAATAAAACTATTTACAATTTTCAAACATATTTTATGATAATTAAAAAATAAAATGATAGTACCACAGGTATAATAATTACATACTAGTAATTAAACTATTTTTGTGCATTTTTATTATAAGAATAAGAAAAAAAAATAACGCACTTTGCTATTACTTTCATTTTTTTTAAATAATCCAAGTACATATTTGTAGTAGGTACATTTGTTGTAGACAAAATCTAAAATTTTATACACAAATAAATTTAAAAACATAAATAATATTACATACTAAAATAGATTTGTATAAAGGAAAAAATTCCAATCAAAGCCAATATATTCGCACTGTACACGGATCCTGATCCTGAGACGCTTCGGATCCAAGTAGTGTAGTTGGATATTCTAGTGTAAACTTCTGGTAAAGTTGATTGAGTGCAACCATCCGGTAAAGATAGCACACCAGTAAGTCTGTTATTACAAACAAGGGCGTTTCCTTCGTCACCCTGATAATAAAAAAAATCAAATTCAAATGACATGTTTTATAATTATTCTAAAGTGTAGAATTTTATATATATATATATATATATATATATATATATATATATATAATATATATAGTAACATTTCTAATTATGAATCTTCTGTATTTAATATGCTAGCAAGGATAAAGCAACACTAATAAATAGTACATAAATACTCACAGCGCAATTTGAAGACTGAAGAGTGTGAGACACCGCGCAAATCATTGAAGGCAGGATATTCTTTATCCCCGGGATACTGTTGTACACTCTGGTACACTCTTTTTGACCATACACATACGTGACAAAATACCTTAATTGAGCGCTTGCCTGAAAAAAATATTAATATATTTTGAATAGACTTCAAAACATGGACAAGTTACATTCATACACACTATTAATATAAATATAATATTTCCTTGATAATTTCATAGCCACCCTAAACTTATTAAATTAAAAAAAAACTTAAAAAATATAACTGGCAAAGATAATTTATAATGCTTTCATAATGCTTTCCCTATTCCCTATCCCTATTTCTAAAAAATAATGTTTACATCAATAAATACTATAAATTAGTCGCCGTCGCGCCAAGTTTGTGTTTTAGGATAATCTCAGAAAAAAACTGTACAATTTTTCATGCGGTTTTCAAAAGTAGAAAGAAAGATTATCTAAAAAAGTTATTTTCTATAAATTATGAATATTTGACGAAAATAAGCGACCAATATGATTATATTTATGAATAAATTCGAAAAAATCGTACGTAAATTGCGAATTGCATCTAATGATGCACCTGGGCGTGCGCGGTTATTTTATAAGACATATATCATATTAACTTGATTATTCGTATTAGTTCCTCCCCAACCAGCAACAGTACATAAAGTGAATTCAACAGGATCGGGATTAGACGGTAAACGTAAAGGTGTCACTATGCCCGCAAGAAATGGAGCAGCTACCTGTAAAATTAAAAATACATACATAAATATAAATAATATTAATAAATATAAATAAAAATACATATATAAATAATATTTATTCAGTCCTTTTTAACGTCCTACAGCTGGGCACGGGCCTCCCTTCAGTACGAGGGGAAATACATAATATATTAATTTAATATTTAACTTTTGTATGATATGTGGTTGATTTAATATTATTAACTTTATTTCACAACGCAACATTATTATATATACGTAAATATTTACCTACTAGATCCCCATGTTATAGGTACAATACGTATATTAATAATAGAAATTATAATGTGAAAGTGGCGAAGTTATAATGAAAGTTATCATAAGTAATTTAATTTTATTAAAAAAAATACTGTATTTATATGTAGGCACATAGTCGTATAAATATAGCATTTTACTTTAGATAAATACAGCAAAATATTGTATAAAAGATTATTTTTAACCGACTTCCAAAAGGAGGAGGTTCTCAATTCGTCGGAAAAGTGTATACTCCCCAGGTGGTCCCATATAAATTTTATCGAAATCGGTCGAGTAGTTTTTTTTAAAAAATCAACAATATATTATATTATATAGGTATATATATTTTTAAAATTGCTTGATCGAATATGTTATTAAAAAACTTTCTTCTTACAACTTACCTGCTTATTACGTCTACACTAAAAATGGAGAAATAAAAACTTAAAAAAAAAAACATATCTTAAAATATTGTCGGCTGGCACCGACTTCGAAAATATCTGATTAGGTATCTATTCTAAATGAAAACCTCCGCTTTAGTTATTTTTTAAATTTTAGTGCCTGGAAGTTGGTTTTTTTTTTAAGTTTTATACTATAAAAAACAAAAGCACATTCTAAAAATAAATAAGCTGAACAATTCTGTTAAAAAAGGTTTATTTTGTGTGCAAAAGATATTATTGTTTCTTGTTCCCCTCATTGGATATTTATTGAAATACTGTAGCCTTATTTAAAATGTATGGAATGCAAGATGCAACCTAAGCCACTGGAGAACTTAAATCCTTGCGCTGACAATATTTATCCCGGTATAAACGACACTAACCATATTGATTAGGGATTTATAACTATTTTGTATACATATTAATTTTAGACAAAATCTATCTATACATATAATAAAATTGTAACTAAGCCAAATCTGTACATTAAATATTATTTGAAAATTCTTATTGAAATTGACATTATTATCGATACAAAGGCCGAATCTATAGTTTTTAGAATTTTTGTCTGGACGGATTTTGAAGAAATTTGGTATGATGATAGCTGGTTATCCGGGTCAACATATAAGATACTTTTTACCGCGGGAAAAATAAAAATCTGTAATGTGAGAATATACTAATGTGAAACCTAAAAATTTGGTTTTTGGTCATCTGATAGCATAGCGGAGAGGCGGAGCCGCGGGCAATGCTAATCAATAATAAAGTATAAAAGTCATAACTTATTCTAATAGAAAATTAAACTATTAACTAATATTGTAATTCAGCATTTTATATATTTTTTTATATATTTTTAATTTTTTAATTTTTTTATTTTATATTTTTAAATACAGTAATTTAAATTTTAATCTTTAAATAAATAACTAATATTTTACATAAAATGTAAAATATTTTTCTATTTAACGTTAAAAAATTCTATAAATTTCAATGCTCATCGTCATACTTACAATGATCAATATTAATAAAGATGGCTAAGCTAATATAAATATTTGCCTAATTGTAGTAAAATACACAATTTATTATATTGTATTTATCTTATTATTTTTATATAATATAGATAATAGTTAATCATTTTTATTCTGATATCGTTTAAAACATATTTTAAAAGAATAATATTTAAACTATTGTCTATTACCATTACGTATTATATGCTATAACATAGATATTTGAACTATATATTTATTTTTTTATAATGAATATAGACGGACTACTTAGTACTTACTGTTACAATAGCAATATTGTTAACGAGCGCTGGCATTCCAGTGTAATCTGGGTGGATTGTAAAATTTGCTATAGATCTAATTCGGTCTCCTGATTGATCAGCAAGGGAAATCGCGCCAGCCAATACTCGGTATTCAGAAGGGTTTATGAGCTCTGAATTGCTGTAACAAATACTCTTTTGAATGTTTTAGGTTAATATTTTTTCTAGTAGATACTAAAAGTTGACGGCCAATTAAGAATATATACAAGATATAAAAATACGTTTTTTTTGCAATAGACACGTATTATCTATACATACCTATAATAAAATTGTAACTAAGTCGAATCTGTACATTAAATATTTTTTGGAAAATCTAATTGAAATAGACATTATTATCGATACTGAGTCTGAATCTATATTTTTTAGAATTTTTGTCTGTCTGTTTGTCTGTCTGTTACCGCATCACGAGAAAACCACTGGACAGATTTTGATGAAATTTGGTATGATGATAGCTGGTTATACGGGTTAACATATAGGATACTTTTTAGAGCGGGAAAATATCTCATTTCTGAGAAAAAATACAGAACCTGCATTGTAAGAGTATAAAAATATGTGAAACCTAAGAATTTGATTTTTGGTCATCTGAACGCGGGCGGAGCCGCGGGCAATGCTAGTTATAGATAAATTTAAAAAGCGATACCTTACGTAATAACAAATTTGATCCAAATCGTTAAATCCGATTTTGAAATACACGAAATATATGTACAAATATACCTACTAGTTACTAAGGTTTGTATAGATTTCACAGAGATGAGATATTTTCCCGCAATCTGTCCAGTGCTTGTCTCGTGATACCGTTTCCAAACAGGCAGACAAAAATTCCAAAAACTATAGATTCGGCCTCTGTATCGATAATGACTATTTCAATAAGATTTTCCAAGAAATATTTAATGTACAGATTCGGCTCAGTTACAATTTTATTATATGTATAGATTATATATGATAGGTGGCGTGTAAATACAATACGCTTGTATCACTTTACACCAGAGTGAAACTAGAGTGTACTTAACATAATATTTCCAACTAACCCTCCTTCACACGCCTGTCATTGATACAAAAACATCAAATTTTCTTTCGAAAGTTTGTATGTTTAAACTTTCTTTTTTACAATAGTGTGGGGATTCCTAGTGTTAGATATAAACTATTGAAATTTTCCGACCTTTTACGGTAGACTCGCATAAGCTTCGATGAAAATTATATTATTTGTGATTTTATATTATGTATCTGCTCTATCTCTAACACGTACGGAATAAATGTGTGAAAATATTTAGTATTTAAAAATATTATAGTAGCTTATATATTTAAAATTCTTACTATGTTATCAATAATAACATTTACCCAGTAATTGCATTAGTTTATATAGGCAGCTAGCAACAGTCACAACGTGTTGGAATGTGATAAGTACACCGCCACATCTGTGACCTCTTGTTTCTGTGGGCTCCCCCGTTTGTATGGAGACCTATAAACATATGAAAAATAATAATTTTACTTTCCTAGGATATTTATTACTTTGCATTTAGCATCCGACTTGTAAGGATATCGGACGAAACGCGGCTCTACATCTTCGCAGTAACCTCGTGGTAAACCATTCATGTTTCGCTGTGCTAGATAGACGCGTCCATGGAGTCGCCCTCTAAAGACCATATAAATTGTTCTCTTATGTATTTTATTTGTTCTTCTCCATAGCGTTCCCTGTTCTCTGTTGCTGTATGCGGATGAAATATCCAACATATAGGTGATACCTAACACCATTTTAGATTGACACACTTACATGCAAGGTGAACAAGCTAAAAAAAGTCATCTCCAAGCGTTTACCTTCTTGCGCCAATTACTCATACTAGCTACCTACCAGCTGGCTAATTTATAATGACAAAAACGCTCTCTCATCTTGCGCATTTCGAATGAACCGAATCAAATACATTCGATCTTCGTCTATATTAAATTCAGTCATTCTTAAACTCAACTCAAAGATTAATGAAAATGTTAATCTGAAGTCATTCTATTTTGATGTTCCTATTAAAAGCGATACAATTGATAAACAATAAATTTGCTTAAACACGCTTACGCTGTCAATACTAACAATGAATATTAAGCCTTAATATCATTTCAGAATAAAAATAATATCAAGACTCGTAGCATTAATTATTTAGCAACACTTGTGTTGCTATATAACATTAGATTAAATATTATAAAATACTTAGGATATTTTCGTTAATATGATTATACGAGTATTTGTACATGTATTGCAAATATATAAAAAAGGTCACTTGCCGCATAGGAGAAATCACCTTCGGTCGGGATGCCCTGCGAACCGAGGGCATCCTGATTTAGGCGAGGCAGGCCCGCGGGGTACGGGCCGTCCGCAGGGGTGTTGCAGTGAATGCGCAAGCGATCCTGCACACCCCATTGCACTGCGGCGACGGGTTCCGCTGTGGGTTTTAGTGAGTAGGAGTCTCACAGTACCCTACCCATTGACGGCCGGTAGGGTCCCCATGATGGGTTTCCCCAGCGATAACAAAAAAAAAAAAAAAAAAAAAAAAAAAAAAAAAAAAAAAAAAAAAAAAAAAAAAATAGGAGAAATCACCTTGCGTGGCGATGGTCCCATTCAATATTCTATTAGTTCGCTCTCCATATAGTACGTTTGCACCTGCCAATTACAATAGCAATCAATCACATATATGAAGTAAAAATAATAAAGGAAGATATGTATAAAATTATATACACGTATTTCTCATTCTTTTTAAAACTGACATTATCGACGTTTGATATTTTGTTTTCATGTGATTTTCTTATTTAAAATAAAAAATATAATAATTGACGACACGTTTGGCTCAGTTTATAGTGACCCTACTTGCTGCGCCAGCTCTCGCGGGTTCGAGTCCCGCTGCGGGCATTCAATTGTGTGATGACCAATGTTTGTACGTCAGTCATGGGTGTTTATATTTATAATATATATGTATTTAAAGTTGTTTATGTGTAGTATATCAACTATCTGGTATCCATAACACAGGCCTCGTAGCTTACCATGGAACTAGATAGTGCTGTGTGTCAATGTCCCAATATATTTATTTATGTATTTATTTATTTATTATAATACAAAAATAGCCTCATCGATCCTACTGCAGAATGGGAGAGTGGCATAAAATACAGGCCAAACACATGGTCACCTCCGTTTGGAATAGTAAAAAAGTTATAAATAAGCATATTTTTTTCAAAGCCCTATAATATTACTTAATATTCAATCAGTCAATAAATTTAAAATCAAATAATGTAATTATATTATATAAGCCAAAAATAAAATTAAAATATCATTTTTTATTTAAATGATTTTTAGATTTAACATTTTATTACTTTAAATATTATTCAGATTTATATTTGGTACAACAAAATATGTTTTTTATTATTAAATCTAACAGAATTCTTTAGATTTTTATTTATTTCATTTCTAAAAAAAACAAGAAATAATGATTATATATTTTTGATATAATGAATATAAAAGTATCTTACTTGTAAGAGATAATCCAGCGACAAATACCCACAATAACGCGTTTGTTTCCATTATTACTATTTTAAACACTTACAATTTTAGACAATCAATAAAGAAATCTGTGTTATTTTTTATGAGTGCGTGTGATATATGTCCTTCAATAAGTAATTCGTAATCTTATCGCTGTCTTTATCTATTATGATGCATTCCAATTTTTTATATATTGATTCATATATAATGAGTCATAATATTTTATATAGTCATGCCCAAAAATTTGCTGCACAATTTCTTAATACCTTATATTAAACTAGCGAATTGCCCTCACTTCACTCGGGTGAGTCAACACGGGTGACATCCAAGTAATATCGTAATATCCAAGTTTTGGGGCAGCAGGACGTTTCAGTGCGAAGAAATAACGAGCCTTTGTAGGTTCGTTATTTCTTCGCGTGTATGTACACGCATATACTAACTTTGCACTTATAATTTAGTAGTATTCCCAAAAATACAACTCTAAATAGATATTAAATTCCAAAAATAGAATTCCAATTTTATTGCTTGCTATTACTTATATTTTCCTGTAACACATTTATTTTTTAATATTTTAATTTAATAAGTTAACAATTAACTGAGTCAGCACCATGTATATATACTACAGCATTAGAGTACAGAGCTTGTTATGAATTCAATATTGTCAGTATGTGTAATATCACCATAAAACATATTTCAAGGAATTGAGATTGACCATAAAAAGGACGTTGTAAGAAATCAACAAGACATTGCCTCATTGTCTTGACCTTGGGAAAAAGTAGCCGAGGGCGTGGGCCCATAAAAATATACAAAAGCTTTATATTATTATTATAGCTGTTATCTTTAGAGCCTGTATAATTAAACCTGTATAATTTTTCGGAGAAGGTAATGTAATCATAGACTTTTATATAGTTTTAAGTAGTATTAAGTAAAATTATGCCATTGCATAAGTTATACTCGTAGGTGTTTAAATTTCTTAAAAACATAATAGGAGTACTTTTTTTATATTAGTTCATGGTAGCAAATCAAATATTTTCAGGGAATATAAAAACAACAAATCGTGTTCTAGTGGTATTCCGTGTATTAGTAATTTCATACTTCTCCGAAATTCCTCAAATGACACACAAGTCTAAAAAAACCTGTGTAAAGGTCTAGTATTATCTCTATTATGTTTAAGTGATCCTAAAAGTCAAAATGTAACACCTATTTAATCAGTTACAAGATACCTAGCTGAAATTAGTTGCTGTTAAATTTTTAGTCACAGTTTTATAGAACTTTTTCCTTGCTATTAAACAATTAGGTAGATTACATATAGATCACGTGTATAAAAAATAAATCACTTTAGTGACAATAATATACTTGTATCTCTAAAGTAACGAAGTGTCTCATACTTCATTGGAATTTTTATCATTTTTTTAGTACGTTGTCTATTCGCATTTCTCTACGTATGTTTGGAAGTATTTTATGAAAATATAATCTGTTACATTCCTACATAAACCTAACCTTATAAAAATATTTATAATAATTATTAATAGAACCATAAAAAATCATTGATAACTTCAATTCAACTCTCTTCTTAATGACTTCAAAAAATTCATATTATGTCTTCTCCATTCTACACGACATTGGCGAAGTAAATTGCACCCAAATGGCACGAATATAAGCCACAGAACAAAGAACATTGAACATTAAGATTATCTTATTCCAAATTATCCAGCTATAAACCCATTGTTATACTTTTATACTTTTGTCACCTGTTTTGATACTGTCATCTATCTGTCGATTAAAATCCCACTAAAATTAGTTGAGCTATTGAGAATATTAGCGTATAAGAGCAGACAGACAGCCAAAAAATGGTTTAGATGTTGATATCAATATAGATGTCTGTAAGCGATAATATTTACCATATATAGTACTATATATATGCTATGGTAACGAAAAAGAATGTTTCTCTTTAATTATAGCGATTGATGTAACATAATATATGAGGTTTTTATAAGCGATGGAAAGCCAGAAGCCACATTATACTTAATAGCCCGGCAAGCCGGCGCCCAGGACATTTTTGTTACGCCACATGATAAAGCCTCGGTAGAGCGTACATAAAAGTTAACTACACAGAAGTGGAAGTAAAAACTGTGGACAGCTAATTTATCTTTTATGTCCTTGTTAATATAATGACCTATTTTACTATGCCACAAAGTTTGTGAGTAATAGAATATAGAGTAGAGAAAGATAATTTTTAATATATTTATGTAGTGGAGTGCTGTGCTTTATTAGGTATTTATACTTTAGAACAGCGGTTCTCAAATGATGATCCGCAGAATCCTAGGGTTTCGTAGAAGGGACACAAAGGGTCCAAAATCCATCCCAGAGATAAATAAAATATCGTAGATAACTTTTAGATTGGACTGAAAACCCTGCAGTCTTTAAAAAGACTGTCGAAGCTGCTGCTGGCGTGTTTTTCTTCCGTTTGTGACAACTTACCGAAGCAAAACTGGTTTTTTAGTTTACGATTACATAAAAAACAAGGAAGAAATAGACTGGATGCAGCCCCAGATCTTCCCATTCGAATTTCAGACATGAAGTCTAATTTAAATGCTATTTTAATATATAAAATTCCCGTGTCACGATATTGGTCTGGTGAATTCCGAAACTACTTATCTAACCTTAACGTATTTTTTTTAAATGGAAATTTTTGTTCTAACTGATAAGATAGTTTTTATCGCGATTATTTTCTTTTCTTATTGCAAAATTAACGATTTTCATATGTGTGCCACTGCAACGCGTGGCAGGGTATAACTATATAGATAAATATGGGAAAAAAATTCATTCATAACATAATTTGGTTATATTTTTGGTTCAATGTTATTATAGATATTTCTATTTTTCATTTATGACTTGTTCTTTCAAGCCAAACAGGAAAGTATTCTAACTACAATAGGTACAATCAGTTTAGTTATTATCAAAATGGGGATCGGATGTTAAAATTTTTTATGATCAATTAGGCTTCTAGGGTAGCCTTAGCAAATACTGTAAAGGTTAATTGAAAAATTTGGCATAGAGAGGCATCACATTTTAA